CCCCCCCACACTCACTTTTATGAGGTAGACTCTACCAGTTTAATTGTTAGCTTACATAATCAATACTTGTGACTGTTTATGATAGCGATTCAAAAGTGGTGAACAGGGTATTAAAGGGGGAATGAAACAGTTTTGAATGTTGTGCACAGTGCTCATTAGTGATTTGCTGAACGCCAATTCTCATATTCAAATTCCTAAGGCCATTTTCTGTCAAGGTCAGTGGGTTAATTTGACTGCGACAATGTCCCCACATTAAGGGGATACAATATAATTGAACTGGCGAGCAAAAGAAAGTGGGCAGTTTTCAAATCGGTGCTGTATGAGTATTTGTCGAATTTTGACATGGCGATTGGCATGCTGAGCTTGAGTCACTTTAGAAAGTCGGTCAGAACAACATTTGTTTTGTTTTTTTTGTTATAAAAATTGTTTACAAACACGTTTGGACAAAAACGTGTGTTATCGTTTTTTCTTGAAAGTTTACAAAATGTCTTTACTTTTTATTCTTTTTCCGTTACACACTTCAACGTGTGTCAGCTTAACCTCTTCACTGCTGTGTCGACGTACTTGTATGTTCTTGTGTGTGCTCTAAAACTTGTTCACGGGCATGTTTCTCTGCTGATTTGTACAATACTTTTTAGGACGTAGAGCCACCGTTTGTAGTTTCTTACTCATGAAAAGGGGAAAGATTTGATGGCTTTGAACAGTTTCCTTGAAAGGACATTTCATTTTGTCAGTATAAACATAGATGGAAACATCTTAGCAGTAAAGGAGTTAAAGGCCGTCAAAAGTTTTGGGTTTGTACTTTTCAATTTTTTTTTTAATACGATGCCTCGTCTCAGTGATGCGCAACGTCAAGAAGCTATTGGCATGCTGAGAGCTAATGCGACGGTTTCTTCTGTCGCTAGAGCTTTCAATGTGAAGAGAGATACTATCCAAAAGCTGAGGATACACTTCAAAGCAAGTGGTTCGATTAGTGACACTCCAAGGTCTGGTCGTCCTCGTGTCACTACTTTTGTTGAAGACAATCGAATCAGAGTTCCACACTTGCGGGATCGGTTTCAAACAGCTTCTAAAACTGCCAGAGATCGGCCTGTGTATAGACCAATCAGCCGCTTCACCGTTCGTCGACACTTGAAAGCCCACGGAATCGTTGCCCGACACCCACCTCGACGCACTCGACTCCTCCAAAGACACCGTCATGCCTGACTCAACTGGGTACGTCTGCATCGGCGATGGCTAAACCACCAGTGGAACAGAGTTATATTTTCTGACAAGTCCAGATTTCTTTTGGATCGCCACGATGGAAGGCTGAAAGTCTACCGGAGACGTCATGAACGTTACTTATCTCAGTGGGTCAGTGCTGTTGCTGACAAACGTAGCATTATGGTACGGGAATCCATCACCAGTACTGATAAATTCGATTTAGTCATTATCGACGGTAATCTGACTGCCCAGAGATACACCAATAACGTTCTCTATCCACACCTTCTGCCGTTTCTGGCTCGCCACAGGAACAATCTTGTGATCCAGCAGGACAATGCAGCAGCACACCGTGCCTTTGTTACCCAGAGATTCTTACAACAAAAATGACGTATATGTTATAACACCGTTGCCAGTATTATCCCCATATTTAAACGTGATTGAGCACCTCTGGGACACGATGGACAAGGAAATTCGCACCCTTCGACCACCCCCAACGACAATCCCACAACTGCAGCAATCATTAATAATTGATGCTTGGAATAATATTCCCCAGCAATTTATCCAACGACATGTGCAATCCATGAAGCGGAGATGTACTGTAGTCATCAATGCTGGTGGGAGTTACACCCGTTACTAATTCTGGGATTTTGCACATTTGAATCGGTGTTCTTAATTTATAATAAAAGGTGTGCTTTTGATCGTTTTTCTTAGGTTTTTTGTCTGCATTTATTGAAAAATGGCAAACCTTTCAAAATTCATTGGCAATACGGCATTACTACGGTAAAGAACGGAAATAATGCACAGAACGTAGGGTGCTCACTTTCTTTTGCTCGTCAGTATATTACTATGGAGGAATCCTCAGATCAATCTAAAAATTGATTGTTAATTATTAATCGTTTGGTACGAAATGCGGCGTTTATAGCGCCTGTAAAAAATCAGGACAACAACCACAATGATCACAAACATTACAAAACAGACAGCAGCAATGCCAACTTCTTCCCCAATACTGATGCTGCTATAGTCGTCATGGTGAGGGCTACTACATCCGGTCTCGTCGACGCCATTGCCACAGTCGTCAACCCCGTTACAAACGAGACTTCTGGGTAAACAGGCGTCGTCAAGTTTACAGTCGATATAATCCTTTGTCGGGCACGTCTCCGACTTAAGCTTGCTTCGGATCACAATTGGCGTTATCAAAATGTCGAACTGAGGCGCGTCTATAGAAGAGTCATGACCATATCTACGAGTACTCGAAACACGAATCTCTGCGTACTGCTCTAAATCAAAGAACCCAGAGGGTTTGATTTTGCCACAAAATGGTGGTAACCCAGTGCCGTTTGGCGAAATAATCTCAATTGATTGTATGTTATTACCATGCTCGCACTGATTCCGGTATGAAGAGTTCATGCTGTAGCTTCTGAAACGCGCCCTCATTTTGACCACTTGGGGATATATGAAGTAAACGCCTTTGACTGTCAAGGAGCAGGAGTAATTACCGTTAGGGATTTTTCCAGGACGCATAGTGACCAACAGGTCAGAGTACAGAAACAAGTTCACTTCGAGGCCACATGAACTTCCATCGTTAAGCTGTACAGTTACCGGGTAAACGCTGGACGCTGGGATTATCGTTGCAGAAAGAAGCACGACGCATGCGCCGAGCAATAACTGTAGACACTGGTACGACTTAAAGGTCCTGAGGAAGAGTCCAACAGTGAGGGTCAATAAGTAGCCTACATGTTGTGTTGAACTAAATTAGCAGATGTCGATTAGAGAAGATGTACATTTTCTCACCCACTCAAGTTTTTTTTTTACTTCACAATTTTAAAGATTGCATCATGTCGTTTTTCTTACCCCACATTAGCCCGTCCCATTCTCTCTCCCTCCCCCCCCC